TGAGGCGGGCATCAGAGAGGATCTTGGAGACTTCCTCGATGGTAGTAAGGTCAAAGGTGCGGAGTGTTGGGGGAGTTTCAGTATGAGGAATGTAGGGTGGGGTGGAGGTGGAGGTCAGAGCAGTGGTGGGGCCGTGGGAGAGGGGTGATGAGGGGGTAGCTGAGTGAGGGGGAACGGGGTTGGAGGGAGTTTGAGCAGCGATGAAGTCCCTACGGGTTATGTCGAGGGGGAGGGGGGATGAGGGGGTAGCTGTGTGAGAGGGGACGGGTTGAGAGGGTGTGTGAGTTGCGGCGATGTTCTTGCGAATTGTGTCAATCTTGTTTTTGAAGTGATTGGCAATCTCAAGGGCAGTGAGTGAGGTGCTGGGTGTTGGTGGGGGTGGCGAGAGTAGAGAGTTGAAGGTGGAGAGGAGTCGGCGAGGATTGGAGGAGAGGGTCAGGAAGTAGGCTTGTTTGGCTGCGTGGCGGGAGGAGGTGTAGGTGTGGAAGGCAGATTTGTAGCGGGTGAAGGCTTGTTGGGATTTGGTTTTGCGCCATAGTCGCTCCAGGGCACGACTGTGTAGTTTGAGGGCTTTGGTGTTATCAGCCTGCCAGGGCTGGAGTGGTCGGGGTCTGATGTTGCGTGTGGTTAAAGGCGCTAGTGAGTGAATAGGGGATCATGGGGCCCCTGTGTCCTCGCCCACACTCAAACCACAAACAAAAAAGCCTATAAAAGGTACCAGGGGCATCTCATGGGGCCCTTACTGACCCCGGGCCCTCGGGCAGTGCCCGAGTTTCCAAATGGTCAGTCCGCCCCTGGTCAGAAGAGAATGAAAACTCTGGCTACAAACTTTAACCAGTGCTTTCCTGGACACTGATAGAAGTCACAAGGCTGCTATATACTGCTGATGAAAAAATTTATTTAGCAGTTTATATTTACTAAAATAATTGCATTTCCATGCTCTGAGTACTGTGGAAGACCAGATATAGTGAATGCAGGGTCCTTTGTTTAGTAACACTTTAAACATACTGTAACGGGGTTAGCTCGGCAGCGGGTGTGTGTGTGACCCCCTGGATGGGTGCACAACACAAAAAGATAGGCACAGCACTCCAACAATAGTGGAGGTGAAAACAAACAGGTGCAATTTATTTACAATATTTACAGAAAAAATGGTAAACCAAAAAGAAACATCAAAATAAATCCTGGCCAACTTGGCTACTTACTGCAACAACAGCTTTCCCTAGCTACCCACTAGGTACAGCCTGCTGCTATACCTAGTTGCTAGTACTTGGAGGCTAGCCACACAGGCTTTGGTCTCTCTGCACACAGATAACAGGTCAGCTCCCCAGACAGTTCAGGCACAGATCTGGTTCCAGGGTGGAGCAACTCCCTAAGCACTCTGGGAGGTTTTATACAGATGTTAATGAGCCCACTACCTTCAGCTGGGCTCATTACCTCAGTGCTGAAGGACTCAGCACTTCCCTCTAGTGGTACAAATCCCCATAAAGCCTGAACCTCGGACAAATATATCGTCCATCCAGGACGCAACCAGGTGATTTCACCTGCCTACTGTCACAATACTTAGGCACACAGTTAACCTCTTGATCACCCTAGATGTTAACACCTTCCATCCAGTGTCATTAGTAAAGTGACAATGTATAATACTATCACTGATTTCTGTATTAATGTCACTGGTGATGTCAGTGGCAGTTAGTCAGTTCCCCCCAGCGTCAGTGTCAGATTGCCCGCCGCACTCCCATTCGCAGTCCCATTATTCACAGTTGCTAATCACTGCCATTAACAGTATAAAAAAATAAATAAAAATCCTGTAAATTGATATTCCAGTATAATTATATAAATTTCCTTTGGGTGCAATTGCCAGTTAAAGTAGCGCAGTGTGGCATAGCAAAAATTGGCCTGGTCCTGAAGGGGGTAAAAATCTTGCAGAGCTCAAGTGGATAAATTAAACAGCACACACAACCATTACTTCTGTTACTGAAGGAAATAGTTTTCTTTGGACCAGCTTGGTCCAAACAAACTATTTAAACTTGACTAAAACCTGGAATTAGGCTTTAATGTCCATGGACATTAATGTTTCCTTTTTCCCTGTTGTCTATTTATTTAACTTAATTCTAATTTATGTGACAAAAATAAATTACAAATGGATTTTTGAAAATTAAACACCACTCTTTTTCTTTTTTCTCTTACTGTCTGTCCCACACCTGTCTTTCTTTTGCCTTATGTTCCTTTCTTTCTTCATCACCTTCTTTTTTTAACATGGCTGCCCTCAACAGTAAAAGGTAAGTGGTTTCCATTGTTAAATTAGTTAATTGAACTTTGTTCAAATTTACACAAATTATTGGTGACTGTGTAAAATTAAAAGAATGTTAATTGGGAACTTTTACATTTCTACTGTTTTTTGGATGCCTGTTAAGGAAGTCAGTTTAAAGTAAATTTTAAAAAAGTAAAAAGTTTTATAATGGGTTGAAGCCCAATTGAAAGTAAAAAAAAATGATTGGTCAAGGGGCATACAAATGTTACATAATCTTTCATTGTCCAGTGATAGATCACCTTTTATCATTTAAAAAGAATACAAGACATTTTTGAATGTAGGAGCTGCACAGTGAGTGACCCACTGTAATCTCTGTGCTACAGTTACTACGGTCAGTTTCACCTCTCAAGCAGCACTATCATAGACGGCATGTAAGCGCAGTCCTCTCACCTACCATTCAGACACAGAAAAGGATGACTGTTATATGTGTGTGGAAGTAGCGGTCTACTGCAGTGGTCCAAAATGCCCCCTACTTGGCCAGAACCACAGGTGTGTAGTCATTGTTGCTGATTGGAGAGCTTTATCTGTGATTTAGTAGAGGACATATTGGATGCTACAGAAAGACTGCTGCTTCCATACATAGGTTGTGCCTCCTGTTTAATAGCGTTGTGCAATAAATAGTAGTTGTGCCTTTATGAATCTTTCGAGCTTAGTGCAAGTCTATCAAAAAGGATTTGTCCAAAAGAAAACAATGAACACTCTGCAGTCTTTAATCCCTTCTTGCCTCTTCCCAGTGGCCCTTTAACTGGTTCTTAATGCTGCGAGGCAGGAAAAACTCTATCATATGATGACTGTTATTGGTTGTGTATCTGAAAATGTTATTAAAAGCACCAACCACTTCCATAACATGAACTCGAAACAGCAGTCAGATATAAACATATTTAGGTGTAAAAGAGAAGTATGGGTTTCTGAAAAAAAAAAATTATACTCACCCACTGCTTCTAAGACTGAGAACTGAGCAATCGAAGACCGCTGATTGCTCAGTTCTCTGCCTTTAGTGAGGTAACTGTGAGCAGCTCTCTGCTGATCTTTTATTGAAAAATCAAACAACAACATTTGATATAAAAGTAAAAAACATAACCATAGTACAGCCATACTTCAACAGAAAACAAAAGGAATGCAAATCCATGTTCAGAATATATACAATATATACATAGTCTACTACCAAAACTTTCAAATTATAGAGAACTATTTACATGAAGCAACACAAAGGGCCTAAGAGGCACAACCCATATCCTATGTATGCAGCCATTTTTCAAAAATTAAGCATCGAAGACAAAAACTAGGGTGATATGAGACAGACAGCCACACCCCGGAAAGAGACTCCTGGTAGTCAGGGAGGCTTGAAACCCCTCCACACCTTCTCACTGGCTCTCTGCTCTGCCCCTCCAGTGCTCACTGGAGCACAGGGCTGTGGAGGGGGCAGGAACACTGGCTAAGCCTCTCAGCGACTCACTGAGAGGCTGAGCCAGCTGTCAGTCTAGGATTTTAGTTGGATCCCGACTGTAAACTTGGGATCTTTCCTGAGCCTGGACCAGCTCAGTGATGCCAGCTGACAGCGAGCTTTAGCTCAATATTGGCTGAAAACTGGTTGCAGGAGTGCAGAATGAACTGCACTCCTGTGATCCATAAAAGTACAGCGAGAAAAGGTTTGGCCATACCTCTCCTTAAAGTTTACAATACAAGCAGTGCTTAGCAATTAAACATGGCAGAGATTATTCTTTGTGGAAGAAAGGGATTGGAGAAAACTATTAACAGAGAATCGTGGGACTTGTCATTAGTAACTTTTCTTTCTGGTTGTATGTAGATCATGATTTCTAAATCGCATGTTATTTCCTCACCTGTATACTTATTCTGGATTATTAAAACCAAAAAATTTCATTTGTGGTGTCAGCATTTTCGATCATGGGACCTTTGGTGACTGGGTGACTTGGGTTACAGAGGACAGTCAAAACTACAATATACAGTTGTGTTCAAAATAATAGCAGTCAGACATCACTAACCTGATCAATCACTGTTTTTGGTAGAAATTATATTTCTGCATGGCAAATAATTTACTAACAGGTGTAGTAGAGTAATAGAAATCCAACAGACCCAACAGTCATGACATGCATGCTGCTGATTTTTTTTAACAGTCTAATATTCACTTTTCTTCAATTTTTTTAGTGGAACAACACAAATTTGATATATTTTTCTTCATGTTTTGATTTGGAATAGAATGTGTAGTGTTCCCAATGCATTTGTGTGTATGGAAACATAAGCTATTAGAAGGATTTTGAGCTTTATTCACTTTTTTCAACACACTGCTATTATTTTGAACACAACTGTGTGTATATATATATTTTATATATATATATATATATATATATATATATATATATAATTACTCTTTAAAAACTACCTGAAATGTGTTTGTTTATCAGAGACATCAGTCTGACTTATTCCATCCTGGTGGTATTTGTGTGCTTTTGACATTGAATTAACATGGACTTAATTTTAAATTTGTAAAGTTTTTTTCAATTGGTTATGGTCAGTGTTAGGTTTGAGAGCACAATTATCTCCTTACTGGGCTATGTCGGAATGATGGGTCAAGATTATATCTTGATAAAATATAATACAAGAATAGAATATTAAGAGATTTATTGTTAGGAAAACTGCATGTGTACAATTTATACTCTATTGTTTATACTGCAGCTCTAAGGGTCCCAGATCTGGCAAGGGAATTCTAGGAGGAAGATGGAAGTAATTCCAAACAATGGACAGATTTGAAAAGGATGAAGTGGAATCCTCCTGAAATTCAAGCTTGTGAATCCACATTTTACTCTCGCCATGATACATACATGTTCATCGTTTGTTTGGTGCACATAAATAGCTTGTAAGCAGTTTGAGCCTTTGTTCACACTAGAATGTGGTGCGTGAAACCCACAATCCATGAGCATTTCCCACACCGCATTCAAATCACACTGCCCTTACGATCTGCAGTGGGTGTCAGCACAATCTTATTGACACCCCAAAAGCAGGTCGCAAATGCAGTGCATTTGCCTGCACTGTATTGCATGGTCATTTTTGTACAGTGCATTCCCAAAATCACTGCATGCATGACTTTGGTGTGGATGCTGTGCAATTTGAGCCCATTCAAAATGAATGGGCTTAGATCGCACCGCACTTAATTGCATGTGAATTGTACAGGAATGCGGTGCAGTACCTGTGCGATTCATAGTGAAAACCTAGACTAAAGGTTAGCTCCATTTAAAATTAAAAAATGGTGGAATTTTTGTTAAAGTCTCTTAGGTTTACCAGTCCATTTGGAATCAGCAAAATAGGTACTGGAGTGAAATATTTATTTAACACTCACCACAGAACCGCCTTTTCTCTCCACCTCATGGCACCTGCAAGATCATGAAGATTACTGTAGTATCTTGAGCTACTACAGTAATCCACAGCTTCCACAGAGTCCAATCAGGTATCACATATACATACTCACACTGGGCCAAAATATATCATCGCTGAAGTTCAGCTTTAAGTGTATATAGTAGACACCCATGGGGGTGATTATAGGGACTAATAGCGGAAAAGAGAAGGAAGATGAATAATAGAACTGCCCCCAAGGGATAGAAACCTATTGTATAACACCTGAAACTACATTTCTGTATTCCCTCTACTAGTTTTAAACTACTAATTTATTTGTTTTCATTTTCTTCTCTGCTTACATATCCTGCTCTTGAAGCATTACTAAACCCACAACAGTAAAATCAGCCTTTATATGCAGTAAAGCATGCTTGTTATACTCACTCTGGAACCTAAGGGGTAATCTACTGCATTGTGTAAAAAAGCTGTTTGATCCTGCCTTCTTTGATCCTCCCCTTCTTCTACTGTCCCCAATTTATCTGCTGATAGCACAGGGCTCTAGGAGTCACTCTGAACATGCTCAGTTTAGTGTGTATTGCTAGAGAGTTTTTTTTCTTTGGGAAGGTGCATGTGATCAGCAAAGGGCCAATCAGCACTGTCCAGACAGAGGGTTAGGGGTTATGCAGCCTCACAGGACAGCTAGAAGAGAATGAAAACTACTCCTACAAACTTTAAAAAAGGTGTTCAGCTGAACACTGATAGAAGCCACAAGACTGCTATGACTGATGAGAAAAGATATTTAGCAGTTTATATTTACTAAAATAATTGCATTTCCATGTCCTGTGTACTGTGGGAGACCAGATATAGTGAATGCAGAGTCCTGGGTTTAGTAACAATTTAAGTAAGTCCTCAGGCATCCAAGTACTATTAAATATAACAAGTTAAACAAAGTTCCATGACAAAGGCAGGTTCTACAGGTGAAGCTGTGACTAGAGGGATCCAGGTATGTAAATGTGAAACAGTAATGTTAACCTATTCAGTGAATTTGTAGCCTGTGATGTTTTAACAGTTCTCTACCTGTGTTACTGCCCAAAAAAATACTGTATTTACTGAACTTTTCCTTAGTTGTTGTCAAACAGCTTCACTTATTAGGTACAGTGCCTGTTAGCTATAATTGTGTCATGCTTATAGGAGAGGAGAGCAGACTCATTGGGGTTGATTTACTAAAACAGAAGGGTTCAAAATCTGGTGCAGCTGTACATGGTAGCCAATCAGCTTCTAATTTCAGCATGTTCAATTAAGCTTTGACAAAAAACATGAAAGCTGATTTGTTTCTATGCAGAGCTGTACCAGATTTTGCACTCTCCAGTTTTAGTAAATTACCCCATAATCACATCGATGTGCTGTTTTCCTTCACTTCCACAGTCAATGGCCAGGTGAGAACTACAGCAGCCATTTATTTCTATAGCCACCAAGTGTATTGAACTGTGCTTACAGGAGAGTCTTGAAACAATACTAAACTAGAACTTATATATGGTGTGTAAATGTGAACCTAAAATTACTATTTTCCTTGCAGTTCTGTTTAAAGGTTGAATTTTATGCCTCATCTCACTTAGTATTTTAATAAACTATTTTATTTGCAGAAATTGTCTTTATTTTTAAATGCTATCCAAATTGTATATAAATAGAGATATCTGGTAAGGGTGTAAATTGATAGAAAACACACAATAATATATTATTTGCACATGGAAAGTCTTTTTTTATTGTGAAATGAATAATTATTTGTGCTGCAGGTTGAAATCAGTTCTCAGAAAATGTGCAGGCTTCCTTTGTTGATTTGGAAGATAAATGATGTGATCAATTCTTTAGTGTATAATAGTTTTGTTCACTACATTTAACTAAATTTTGGAGGCAAGCTTTTTTTCTTGCTACAAGATTACCTCTTCTTGCAAAAGCATTTAAATCAGGCTTTGAAATTTCCACTCACCTGCTCGCCAATGGCGAGTGGAAATTATGGTGGGGGCGAGTGTGTCCCCAGGGCCGTCTTGCTGAGCAGGCTCGGAACTCAGGGCCGGATCTGTCACTCGCACTGGGAGCCGTCAGACTGCTCAATAGCTGAGTGCAGAGAAAGCAAAGGAAGGAGTGTGTTCTGTGCTCTCTGCCTCCCCCTAGAGTGTAGTACCCGGCTCTGTGAGTGAACAACGAAGTACTGCAACTTTTTATAGGGCTGTGTGTGTGTGTGTATTTGTATATGTGTGTGTACTTGTATGTGTATGCATGTACATGTTTCTGCATGTATGTACGTGTGTGTATGTGTGTACATGTGTCTGTGTGCATGTACATGTGTGTGTGCATGTACATGTATGTGTGTGTATATGTACGTACATATGTATGTGTGTACATGTGTCTGTGCGTGTGTATTTCTGTGAATGTACATGTATGTGTGTCTGTGTATACATGTGTCTGTATGTGTGTACATGTGTCTCTGTGTGTGTGTATATGTTTCTGTGTGTGTGTGTGTGTACAGGTGTCTCTGTTTGTGTGTGTGTATGTACATGTGTCTGTATGTAAACCTACATGTATAGGTGGTTTGGTCAGGTTCAGGATTATGTGGTTATTATGGGTGGTAGAATATGGGGCATTTGAGGTACTGCTGGGTTGCATAGTAGGTAGGATATGCTTGGTAGAGTTATGGTTTTTGAGTGAAAGGTTATGGGGGGTTATAGTTGTATGCGGCGCATGGTCTAAGTATGATGGAGTGTTTAGGGGGACTCTGGGGACCCTGATGTAATGTGGATAACTTTTAACAGTGTCATTTCATTAAATAATTTACTAGGGCGTGTTTAGGGGGGAATTAGGGGTGTAGCAGGGTAGGGGTTGTTGTGGGGCAATTGTTGGCGAGTAACTCTTGAGGCCTGGCTAGTAGCTCAGGACTTGAAATTTTAAGCTCTGATTTAAATGACTTATGTTGTTTATCACTTAGTTTTGCTCTAAAATTGTGTCTCAAAAACATTATTACTGCAAAGACAAAATTAGCTATAAAGATAGCTATATGTGCAGTACTTTCAGGTAGCATCCAAGTGGCCCCAGCAGTAGCCACAAAACCCAAGACAGTGAACTATGCAAGTAGGGACTTCACTGCTTTAAGCCAAGCTCCCCCACTCCGACCTTCATCACATATTGATCCTTCAAATTACATATTAATTTACTTATATACAATTATCATGTATTTATATATAATAGCTTTAAAAAACTGCCATTGTGCTACTATTTGAAAGTTTGACTGCAGTAAAAAAAAAAACACTTAACATTTCACAAAACAGAATATTTAGTAAAGAACATAAGTATGACCATCACATACAATCATTAAGCAAAAATGTTTTTATTTTTATGAAGCATTTATACAGAATGTTGTCATAGCACAGTGCAAATTAATTATGGAGAGTTTATAATGTAAGCTCCTAAACAACATTTAACATTACATATGTATAAAGAACACATGCACAGCAGCCAAATCCCAGTGAAGCTGTGTTAAAGTGCAAAGATACCGTATTATTGAGCCAAAAGAAAAAGTGAAAAAAAGCATCTGGATACTGTAATCAATATCCAGCGAATGATGCTATATTATTTGTTAATTAATATTGATAGCTGTACTGTGCTCTTAGAATTCAAGAATTAGCATGTGTTTTTAAAAATCTAGCCTGTGTGTGACAGTTATACTGTAGTTAAATGAGCATACATCACAGAAAATAAATCTCCCTATAACATATAAAAACCTGTAATGAGAAAAATATGTAATACCTTTGCTGACCTCCTTTTGAAAAAGTCTATTAACCTGGCTATATCTGACTCCAATACTTTTTGACTTATGTGCCCAGAACTAGTATAGTATAGTCAGGTGTAATCAGAATGGCACTGAGGAAGAGGCAAGTCCTTGAAACGTGTCAGCCTGTTGGAGGTCCAGAGTTCCCTTTACGGACAGACATGTAATGTGGATTGGATAAAGTGGTTCTTTCACAATGTTCCCTTGACTGTATTGACATTTTGTAAGTGCAATACCTACTTTTATCATTATTAAAAACATTTTTTAAAGGTAATGCACTAGGTAATGCACTAGGCCGGTGTGCTCTCTGTTTGTTTTTATCTCTACTACGTATATGTGGACTTTCCCTGTCTTTTGTGGGCAGCAAGGCATGCATATCATAAGAAACTCGTAATGTGGTCCTTTCCATACAGAGTCCATCCCTAAGCGCAGAATTATCTGGGTTTGCCATTTTCTTCACTGTAATCAGAACTCCTGACCTGCATATTTGTCCCCAGTCAGTGACTTTGCATTATTTGCATGACATCTAGACAACTGGCATCTTCAGAGGAACAAGCTAGCAATGGCAAACTGGGATTCTCTTAGTACGTGTTTTTTAAACACTTGTAAAAAAATTTCACTGGAAGAATGAAGAATGCTTTTAGTTGACATCTCTTTCAGTAATTGCCAGTCGCTTTGTGTTCTTTTTTTTCAATTGTTTGAGTCCCTAATATAGAAAAGGAATATAGGAAAAAAGTCTGACTTTTCTAGTTTGCTTACTAGTTCTGGATCATTGATATAGAAATAATTGAAGCCAGGGTCAGCATAACAGCCAGCCAGCACTCTTTGAAAGAGCTTAACAATGGCAGCTCTCATATTTAACTTGGATTAAAATCTACACCATTACAATGCATTTGTATGTGTATCTTTTTACAGCTATCCATACAATGTTGTATGCCCACTTAAAAGCAGGGCAAATACATTTCTTATCCACTCATGCTTGCATAAACAAATGTTACCAAAATGGATGTCTTTAAGACCTATTAAAAGATATCTATTAATTTTACTAAATTAAACCCAACGTTTGTTGGTTTACGTGCCAATATATTTCAGCATTGCACAATCATTTAGCTCTGTTGTGTATTGGTACTGTTTTAATTCCCTGCAAAAACTAGCTCAACTTGCTTTTAAATACTGTTCATATATCCATTATTCGTTGTTACATCATCAGGTTCCCATCAATTTTTCTGTCTCACAAAACATGTTTGTTCAAATACTAGCTGTGATCAGTCTTGGTACTGTCCTGACCTGCTATGCCATCCATTGCTGCTGATTTGCCTATTTCTGTATTTAATCTGGCTCTTCTCTATCTAAGAGGTCGATTCTCTATACGATACACACACATTCTTAATAGTACATTTAGGTTTTATAGAATTAATGTGACCCTAAATCTGATTGAAAAATATCAAGTGCTCCTAACTATACACTAGGCAGAGGTAAAGCTTACACAATTTAGTAAAGCAATTACATTTTACCTTGAGTCACAGATGATCCATCAGCATAGACTTAGCACATAAATTCAACCACATAACCTCTGTACACTGGTTAACAACCCATACACATCATGTTTGCTACATCAAACACCAAACAAGCAGTCAGTCATAAATGTAATATAATAAAACACTGGAGATTGCTTGCAAAAGCAATACTGGAAACACATTTAGGAAGCTGGTTTATTGAATCCTTTCATTATACCAAGTGTATATCAGGGGGAAAGTAAACATATGCAATACATCTCTGCCATACATGCAAGGTTCTTGTGCTCTATTCCTTTACAAATACTGAATGTATCCCTTTACAAATACTGTCTGTAGAAATAAGTGCATATCCTTACATACTACAAAGCTTTTCAAGTGCATAGTTCTAGAACAATAGCTACAGACAATCTCTGGCTAACATTTAAAAAGTGTACTGAATAAAAACAAGATAAATAGAAACTCCATTGAGCTTTAAAAAATGGAACTTACCACATACATTTACATTATAACATACTATAATGTCTACTTGGTGTTGTCACAGTGGCATCCAAGACACTGGCTAGTTTAGTAATATACAGTATATTAAGAAATATAACAAATAGGGTGAGTCACTTCCAATTTGCCACAGGCTTCTCACATAGGGATCACATCAAAAGTGGGCTCCCAATCCATCCACTTACATATACATCAAGAAAACTAGGATGCAATCTCCATGTATTGGAATATCTTTGAGCTGGATGTTGTATGAAGATAGGATTTTCTAGCAAAGATATTGCATTATATGAGGATCACACCCTCGTTTTCTTAACATATTAAGAAATAGACATGTGCATGCTGGAAATTAATTTTGGATTCATTTCTTAATTGAAGAATTTAGTTCTGTCTTACTTGTTACTTTGAACAAATTAGTTTTCAGAATTTGTTCATATCTTCAGCATTTGTTTTGGTTGGTCAGGGTGGATTCGAAAAATGTTGCAATTTTTCCGGAAGATTGCTCTATTTTTTATATATAAAATTAGACGGATTCACTATTTTTGGACGCTACTCCAACCCACCAAGAGGAATGGCATGAGTTGATTGGACAATATTGATTGGCGTCATGTGCATTCGATTTAGCAAATGAAATGAAATTTATATCTATGCATTATCCGGATCTGAATTATTGAACAAATTAAAAAATTGAATTAATTTCACCATGGGATAAACTAATGTCACATCATGTGACGTCATTCAAATGAAACCAGTGCATTTGTTAATTTTGTTATAACTTTTTTTGGATTCGTTTCCATTTGTTTTTGAGTCCATTGGAGATTTGGATGCATCCAAATATCTGAAAATGCCATTTTCGTCAATTATTCAAAATGAAACGAATCACACGTGTCTATTAAGAAACAGCATTGGTTTTAGTGGAAAATGTATTCCTAAAATGTATATGTTTCATAAGCATAATGAAATTTATGATCCTTTGAGAAAAGTGACTATCGCCATGGAGAGTAGTTAAAGTGACTAATTGAACTTTAAGAATATCATAGCTTAGTGTACTATAAAGTGCTCACAAGCCCCAGGGCACACTACATAGTAACAGAGTGATAAAATTTGGTTATGCTCCCCATTCAATGACTTGCAGCCACCTTAACCAAGACCCTAGGATCATCTAGACAACTTCTGCAGACCAACACTGTACTATATTCTTTATTAAAATGTACGTCCCACTTTTGGCCCATTTTAGCCTCACACAGTTTGGAGTCTAACTAAGCTATATGGGACTTTAAAGGCGAGCTTTTCTTGCAAATAGTGTAAATCCTGTACGGCAGTTTCAAGTGAATACGTAAACATTTCACTTATAGAATAATCAATTAATTACATTATCACTGTACTCATATTTTCTACGGAGAACATATTCAACAGAATTATAGAAAAAATGCTTAACTACAGCAAAAAAACTATTTAGGTTTGATAACCTGTTTTTCTTTATACATTCTATATAAATTCCTGTATTAAAAACTTTATTTCTCCAGGCCTTGCATTGTGCAGAATTCTGGCTACACAGATTGCTGGCTCTTAGTCTTATACCAACAGATGTTGGACTTGCTGATGGAGTTGATGGAGAACTACTTCGCCAAAGCTAATTAATAAATTATTTTGCTTTTTGTTATACAATAATAAATCACATGACATTTCTCTTAGTAACTTATTTTTCAAAAATACCTTTTAGTACTACAAATATTTTTACAAAAAATAGATAAC